CCCTTTGCATGATCCGGTGACATGGTACGGAATTAATTATGCTGGGACGCAAGTTACACAGTGGGACTTTCAAAACAAAGGAAAGTCAGGCTGGACTGGTATGAGTTCCTCTGTTTTGGAAATCTCACTGTGTAACTTGCATCCCAGCATAATTAGTTCCGTACCGTGTGACCAGATCGTGCAAAGGGCCTATTGTATTGCACCCTTTTAGTAATATCTGGGAGGCGCAGTGGCCTCATGGCTAGTGTGCCGAATTCAGATTGAGTAGTTTGTGTTGAATGCCTGGCTGGAGACAGTAATGACTTCTATTTGGTGAGAAAACCTGGTAAACTTGAATTTTCAGAAATTTCCTTTTGTGGTGTACTGAAATTTTCAGAAATTTCTTACTAGGAATTTCCAGTCTTTTTGACTTTCCTCCTGGAAAATTTCCAGAATTTTGGTTGAATGGTCCACCTGTTTGGAAAAAATTCAGCATTTTCTGGATTCTCTGGAAACTTGGCCAGAAATTTCTGTTCCATGTCCCATTTTCAAAATTTTTGAAACTTTTGGATGAGTGGAAAGCATCCATTGTGTTGTGCTCTTGGGTAAGACACTACTCTCACAGTGCCTTTCCCAACCCAGGTGCTGTAATGGGTACCCTGTGAATTTAATGCTATTGGTAACCCTGCAATGGACTTAAGAGGAGGAGTAGGAATACTCTTAAGCCTGGTTTTATGTGTCGGAAAAATCCCAGACTCTCTTCGCCGACCATCCCAGATTTTGCCAATATATCAGATATTCACCAGAGGTCTGTCCCAGATTTGAGATAGCCATCACTCGTGTTTTTGAGAGACGCCATGTTTATTTGTGATAGGGGGACTGGAGCCCAGCAATTTAGGGGATTGGTAATTAGCNAAAACAAAGGAAAGTCAGGCTGGACTGGTATGAGTTCCTCTGTTTTGGAAATCTCACTGTGTAACTTGCATCCCAGCATAATTAGTTCCGTACCGTGTGACCAGATCGTGCAAAGGGCCTATTGTATTGCACCCTTTTAGTAATATCTGGGAGGCGCAGTGGCCTCATGGCTAGTGTGCCGAATTCAGATTGAGTAGTTTGTGTTGAATGCCTGGCTGGAGACAGTAATGACTTCTATTTGGTGAGAAAACCTGGTAAACTTGAATTTTCAGAAATTTCCTTTTGTGGTGTACTGAAATTTTCAGAAATTTCTTACTAGGAATTTCCAGTCTTTTTGACTTTCCTCCTGGAAAATTTCCAGAATTTTGGTTGAATGGTCCACCTGTTTGGAAAAAATTCAGCATTTTCTGGATTCTCTGGAAACTTGGCCAGAAATTTCTGTTCCATGTCCCATTTTCAAAATTTTTGAAACTTTTGGATGAGTGGAAAGCATCCATTGTGTTGTGCTCTTGGGTAAGACACTACTCTCACAGTACCTTTCCCAACCCAGGTGCTTTAATGGGTACCCTGTGAATTTAATGCTATTGGTAACCCTACAATGGACTTGAGAGGAGGAGTAGGAATACTCCCAAGCCTGGTTTTCATGTGTCTGAAAAATACCAGACTCTCTTTGCCAACCATCCCAGATTTTGCCAATATATCGGATATTCACCAGAGGTCTGTCCCAGATTTGAGATAGCCATCACTCGTGTTTTTGAGAGACGCCATGTTTATTTGTGATAGGGGGACTGGAGCCCAGCAATTTAGGGGATTGGTAATTAGCGAAATCCATCGCCGACAGACGCCGACGACCCCAACCGTACAAGTTTGATTTTTCATTTGTTGGGAATGATCGCTGACCATTGTAGAAACCTGAGACGCGTCAGGAAAATAGAAATGCTCCCTATTCTCTAGATATGTCCTCATGCATCCCAGACGATTCGGGATACAGTACCAATCAGAAGAAACCTAACAGGGAATGCGTTTGCGAACGGGAACAGAACGGATACAGAACGGGTACGAGAACGCAAACGGAACGGGTACAGAACGGATACAGAACGGATACCGAACGGATACCGAACGGAAATGGAATGGATACAGAACGGTTACGAATCACAAAAATGGAAAAAAGCGTTCTCCAGAACGCAAACTACAAGAGAACGTGTTCTTCAGAACACATGCTAGTAAGTTACGCTATCAGAGTGCTTACCAAGGATTTGGAAACGATGTAACTTTAAATACACGTTCGTTCANTGCTATTGTTTGTACGTACTCAAGGGGATTAAAAGAAAGGTCTATTTTAAATGAAAAAAAAAAAATCGTTTTTCCAATGTGTAGCTGTTTCGGCAGTATTGTACCTAAAGTAAAATTACCATAGGCGTTCAGTATTCAGGACAAAGCTATGTGCCATATTTTGTATACTACAAGGCTTTCCTTGTTTACTTTAAAACTTCAAACAAATTTCGCAAATTAGAAGAACTGCACATTTTTATCGCCTTCAGCTCAGCAGGGATTAAATCAAACTTCGGTCAACTTCGCTAATTTGTCATATCTTATGACAATATCTATGACAAATTTGTTTATTATCACGTTAAGAGGCGAGTGGTCGGGAAGGATGATTAATCAAACCAGTAAAATGCATGTCTCATCAGCTTAGTGTCTTCTACAGAAAACTCTGAATATAAGTTCAGTCTGTACGTTACGAATTCAAGGGGTTTGCCATTGGACACCCTCACACTTTTAAAGATCGAGTGTGAGTGTACCTAATAAATCATTAAGAGCATCTCAATGCCGGCTGGTGGCTTAGCAGTTTTTTGGTTGTTTGTTTTTTCTTCAGTTTTGTCTTCACTGATATAAACGAAGCACAGTAAAGTTAAACAGCTCGAAGATAGTGCTCTGAGTTTTTACGCGTCATTTCCAGCAGTTTCGATTATCTAACATGCGACTCATTAGTTGTTTGGGCTAAAAAATAAAACCAAAACACTGTTTGTCTGACAGTTGATTGTTAATAATAATTAGCTGCCAGAAAAAGTAGACTATAGCTCAAGGTATCAATGCTGCTCCGTTTCCACTTAGAGTTCGGTGAAAGCAGCTTCCCATAAACGTATTTGCTTGTATAGAGATCCGCCCATGCTTTCCCCTCCAATTACAAGTTTCAAATCGGCCCACATCGCCGGGTACTCTTAAATTGAGCCTTACAAACCCGCATGTCAGTTACCAGCTACCAAAAGCAGGTATTTCTACCTTTCGACCGCAAGAAAAATTTGCCTCTTCGATTTTATCGTTGCTTTAAGCTGATAGCTAAACTCTCTTATCTCGACTGCCTTCTGACCCCAATCCTTGGCACACATATTTTATCGATACCAATTATAATCTCACTCGTGACCGAGACTACGAGTGGCAATAGAGGACAATCTCTTCCCACTGAGTTCCGCCAATAAAGCCCTGATCTCACGCCAATATTCAGTGATCGCTTCATGACGCAATGTAAGTAATGATGTATCTCAATGAAATAATCTACCTTATCAAACTTGTTTTCTTAATAAGACATACCTCCGCCACTCAGGTTTCTTCTTTCCGTCAAACAAAACTTCTTAACGACCCGCAGACAAAACTCGCAAACCAGAAAGTCTTTTAACTATTGAATAAATTATGAGTATAGAACACGGAACGTCGATCAGACAATACGAGATATAATTGGCTGGCCTGGAACCTGCCAGTTGGCCCCAATGATTCACTCGACAGATATTCAGCTACCGGAAAACGTAGCGTACTGTTTTGACACTCAGAACAGTAAAAGGTTTCCGTGGGGGTAATAGGGAGTTTTTAAAAACAAATCACAACGGCGACGCCAAAGAGAAAGCCGTCACCAAACAAATGGTTTGATAAGCAGAAAAATGGTTCTGCACGTGCGTTTTGAATCTTGGAACATTTCTACCCTGCTAAATAGCAACGTGAAATGACCCGAGTTCTGCTTATTTTGGAGAACGTGAACCGCAACGGCTTTTTCTTTGAATTGAACGCTGTCATTCAAATTTAGCCTGAGCAAGCTTTTAGATCGTTAGGCCTACACGGTTGCGACATTCGACAAGGTAAAATGCAAATCCACTTTACACAAGCGTCGTCGTCGGCGTCGAACTCGTTGGTAAAGCTCTTCAGCTAATACCAAGATATTTAGGGTGTATTTTGTTTTACTGCGACCAAGTATATTCGGGTTTCCTTCGATTTAATTTCACGATATATTTTGTTCATCGCATAAAGTGGCCTAGCTAGAAGAGTTTCAATCATTTGTCTAATAATCCCAAACAAAATTCATGAGAGTCGAGGGAACAGGACATATTCCTCGAAATTCTCCTAACTTCACTATACTATTCTTGGTATAAGATCTTAGGAGAATTTAGTTCTGTATCTCCTGAGGCCATTATTCGTAACACCTTATTATGTGCCTTGTTTTTCAGGCCTGTTCGCCCTCATCATGCGTCGTTCACAGTGACTCGCTGTTATAGAGTTCTAAGATGCGGTCTTAGAACAGTTTTTAGCTTCCTCTCACAGTTAAAAAAACAAACGTTTAGTAAACTTTCTGGCGATTTTACCCGACATCAGTATTGAGGGGGAAATGAGTGAGTTAGAAGTACCCTTGATAGAGCTTCGTAGTGTGTATAAGAGAGTGTGAAAATTAGAAAGGTATACTTAGAAAAATTGTCAGTTTAAGTAAGCCGTCGTGATGGTGAACTGCAGTTCTATAGGCACAGTCACTTTCCATTCGAAAAGCTGTAATGATTCAATTTAGCATCCAGGGCTAGTTTTTGAAGCTCAAGAGGGAGCACTTATCACAGAAGGGCACTTATTAGGAACGGGGTGCTGGTCCTTTTCGGACAATTTTAATTTATTTCAATTTGATAAGTAGTTAAATGACGTAAAGGGTAACAATGACGTCTCTTACAGCCATAACATCATTTGATTCATTATTTCAAACTTTCGCACTGGGGACGTATTGGAATGGAAGGAAGCGCGTATTGGAATAGGGGGGCATATGAAGATGCCGGCCAAAGACAGATCGGTAAAGAGAGCACTTATTACAAGGAGGGCGCTAAAAAAAATTGAACCATTACTGTAGTCTAGGTCAAGTTGGAAAATGTCCAATAATCTCGAGATTTCGGAAATGCGAGGGTGTGGAATGGTAGCAATAGATGTCGTCGACTGTCAACAAAACGCTGCGTATGAGGCCAAGACTACTGACGCACGGTTTTATCAGTTAAATGTTGGCTCATTTGCCACTTTTCCAAGTCACACTCCCGATAGGAAAACATGACCATAACAAATGAACTTGTTTGCTAGTTTCCTATGTCATTATTAATCACCTAAAGGTTAGCAAGGTGAAGCGGAAAGATGTTAAAACTGATTAACTGACAATTTTGGGTGCAGTCAGTGTTAAATTGTTTTAACAGCATTTCTAAAGGATTTTTAGCAATCACGGTTTACTCTAGCTGAGCGGGTATCATAAGGGACCATGATATTTTTGAGAGGTATTGAGCAATTATCAAAGCAATATGTTCTTTCTTCAGGGCCAGGTCGTGCAAATATTTTTTTTTTCG